AGTTTGCGTTTTTCTTTCCTTTTCTTTTATTTGCTTATTTTGTTTTGTATTGTTGATTTTTCACTCTTCTAATTTTTTTTTTCTGGATCTGGCTTTTAGGACAAACATGGAATAAGTGTGGGGTGATGTTTAATGGGATTTTTTTTTTCCAAAAATAAGTTATTTTATTTACCACGACGTGGTGATAGTCATCACGATGTGACGATTTCACAGTTAACATACGAATATTTTTCACTAATGGACCACGACGTGGTGACTTTTTAAACGCATTTATTCTTTAGGGTTTTTAACCTAAAAAGATTACTTTCTCTTTTTACTTTCATTCCACTCATGCCGTATTTGCTGCCTCACGAGTTCCTACTTCATTCTTCTTCCGATTTCAAGTTTTTCAAAGGCAAAAGGTATGAGTTCTACATGTTTTTAGCTCCTAATAATCGCATATCATTGCATCTATGGCACAAATTCGCTGTTGTGAACTATTATTTGGGGTATTTGGTAACTTAGGGTTCCGAATTTGATTCGATTTGGAGTTGTTTTTGCTATGAATTTTACTCTAAAACATGTATTTAGCAAACCCCTGAACTTGATTTGATTTGAAATAGATTTGAGTTGAAATAGATATATGTTATCACATAAAAATAAAAATTTAAATCACTAAATTAGGATAGGGACATGTATTTTTGGATAATAGTTCACCTTAACTAGTTGCAAGACTTTTACTCCAATTCCCAAGTCGTCTCGATTCATAAATGTCACATGTAGATAAGTATTCATTGAGTAATTAAAAACTAGTTACACTCTACCCACTCTAGTTAATGTTCTTAATATTTAACATCATATTTTAATCATTACATAACTTTCCTATGATCATAGGAAGACATGTGAAGAAACTAGACTTGATTTGGACCTTGCATGCAAAAGTTACACAAGATACATGAAATCTTTCCAGATTGATACTTGATCGAGTGAATTTACTCTTGAAATTTTACTCGGAATAATGGAGCTATACAGAAAATTTCGAGGTTTTCGCAATATTAAGCCACCAATTCAAGCCAAACCAATCCTAACCTCTTCCAATGTACTCCTAATGACCGTATATCACTTGCATGGGTTCCATAGGATAATCAATCCTCACCTCTTCCAATATACTCCTAATCATCATTAATGCAATGATTTGCTATCCTAAATTGAACTAACCAATGGAACCATGATTGAGGGTCCGTTTGAGGCCGTAGATTATCCATGATTCTTGCCTAGGATTCACCATCTCGTGGTCTTCTATTCTTCTAGCTTATTTGTCTCTGCATTGGGTCACCATTCACCAACCTTGAAAGCATTAACTGTTTACAACTCTTTATTATAGAATATAGATCCATATCTCCATTATCTTTTATAAAATTGAAAGGACTTTGCTTTGAAATTCTGTCGCTACAGTGTGAATCTAAATTTTACACATATATTGAATAAATTATCCTGAATTGATCGAGGTAAACGCAATACCAACCAAATCAACGCCAACTGTAGGCGGATTGATGAAAGATGCAATTCAAACATGCTCGTTGAATCCCCAGCAAAGAAGATAACGACTATATGGGACCAACTCACCTAATTATTTGATTCCAAGTACGTCGCAAATTTGTGCTTATTAAAAAAATAGTTATTTGTTAAAATAACTAAATGTATGAAAACCATATCTTTTTTAGAAAGCTTTATTAAACAAGGTTAGTAATACTTTAATAATTACTAGGTTTAACTATAATTTAACATCAGTATAACTTTACTTTCAGAGTTGCACCACTTTAACTTTCATCTAAAAAATATGTACATCCATCAAACACTTGTCAATGTTCCTATTAAATAAAGCAGTTACTATTTTAAATCTATGTACACGTCATTATTTTTGTAGGAAATAAAATAGATATGTATATGCATTAATGAATATCATGGATTGTACTATACTATTCATCTTTACAAAATGATACCAAGTGTAGGTTTAGAAGTGCAGGTCTTTCAAACACAAAAGAAATAGGAGCAGAGAAGAAAGATACGAAACAGAGAAAAACAAAGAAACAATGGATAGTTGTTTGATGCCAAAGACTTCTCTTATTTAATCAAAAACAAGTTGTGAATACGCCTTAAGATAAAAACGCAAAACGCAGGGAGCATTTTATACTAAAACATAATAAATTTGACTCTAACACAAAAACTAAAAGAAAAACAATTAAAATAAAAAACTTCCCAAAATGCCCCTGCACTTATAAATCGGATTAACCCAACAATTTATATGATGTGTGTTTTAGTTTCTAAGATCAGTAGTTTATAGAATAACATTCTTTTGGTGTGTATGTAGGTTGTCATCATAGATTTTACATGAGCTGTAATTTTTTTTAAAAAAATTATAATTTATGAAGTGGTAAACTGACCGATGAATATGTATTTTTCATGTCATTTTATGTTAGATTTTAGGGTTCTATCTCGGTCTTGCAAACCGAATACAATTATGCATACAATTCCGATCTTAACAAAAGACTGATTAGTGATTATGACTATTTGATTATTGGGCCAAATCTTATCCTAATGGGCCCATTCAAGTCATAAAAAGTTCAAATAAAAAAACAAAAGACATACACGACTCTAAAACCCATCTTTTGATGATTACAAGCTTTAATTATCATTTACCTTCCTCAAAAAAATCTAAGAAAACAAAAGCAAAGTGTACTAGTCAGATTTTGGTTTTTATCGACTTTGTGTTTCGTCACAATTTTGATGTAAGTTGAACGTACTTTTTAATTGTCAATCGAATCGAATATTAGTTTATGTATATGTATATTATATAAATATATATAGCTTTGATGGTTTTTGACCCCAAAACTAAATTAAAACCTACTCCTTCTTTTGTTGATGAGATATATCTCTTAATCTCTACATACATTATTTATTTGATCGACAAAGCTTCATTTAGACTTGAAATCATATATTTTATGAGTTAGTTACTGAATTTTAAATCAATAACCAGCCAAATAGCATCCATATGTTAGATCCCAAGCTCATTGATGACAATTCCAGGTATCATCAACACTTGACTTATCCGATTAACTAATTGATTGTTTTAGTGGCTCTGGAAGTCTAGTAACATGAACACTTCATTTTCAAAGACATAGTTAAATTATGGGGTTAACTATCACTTACTTCTCCAGTTATCTTATTTATGATTAGCTTTGTTTGAGTGATTCAACTTTGATATGAGCTCCATATGTGTTTAATATTAGTGTGCATGATCCTTGTAGTATAAGAGAGTATTCGACTACAGTTCGAGCAATCGAGCTCTATCTTTAGAGGAGTACTCATAAATTAGTGGACCTAGAATCTAGATAGTGAATCCTACTAGGCATGATGTAAATTATGGGGTGGAGATAGCCTCATGTTGAGCCGTTGAGGTGAACCAATATATCTCGTGGTCCTTTTTTCAATATTTATTCCCTTGTATCTTTATATTTGTTTGTTAAAATATTTATGTGGTTGAACATTAATCTTTTAACTTAATTTCATTTCTGAAAATAAACGATATGATTATAACTGAAAGTGGATTAAGTATTTGTGCACCTCTACCTCTTTCCAAGCCCTTTCCCATTCATTCAGGATGGAATGGTCTAGCCCTCCACTGATATTTACACATACTTAATCGGGATAAAATGACTTAATTAGTTTAATATATTAAGACACTTTGTTGCATTCATTCTAAAAACAATGTTATGTGTATTTGTATCTCATCGTTGTTAAATTCTCGATCTTGATCTTATGATTTTAAAATCCTATAAGTGACAAACAATCCTGATCACACTACGATCACGATATCACATTATATAACCGGTTCTCAAAAATTTGTTTATTTAACTTGAAATCGAGCATTGCAAATTGCAAGAAGTCTTGTTGAGCATCGTCATTTTATCAATTTTATCTCAAATTAAGGAGTACATACTCATAATAATCTATTTGTGATCCCATGTCTTTAGTTGTACATTATCAAATTGTTCTTTTTTTTTTCTAGTTAATATGATTTCTTCTTAATTTTTACGGTTTGTACTTTTGTAGCAACACAAATTATACTTCATGCTTAAAAGTTATAGTTGATTCCACTATCATTGTTTTAATCAAAATCAATTGATAATGTATATCTTGCGAGCAAATTCTAATAATAGTTAATTTTTATAAGATCTTTGGATTCTGATCCGATCTTATGATCACGACCATGTAAACGTAAAACGACCTTGACTAAGATCCCAATCTTGACAACCTTGTTATAACATCATACATATTCAAACATTTAAATGTTTTATCTCTAAAAAAAACTTTAAAAAAACAAACAAACAAACAAAGTGTTTCTCTTATATGAATAAAGAGAAATTAAATATCCTCAAATAATTTTTTTTTACCATTCTTTTATATATCAAAAGATGACATGTCTCATATTTAATTTTTTTTAATAATGTTTTAATCCACTTGTCATCGGTAGGAGGATAAATAGGAAAAAATTGTAGAATGATATTTAATTTCTCGTAAATCAATTATTTGATATTTGTGATAGGTTTTATATAATGTTAGGATAAACCATAACTCGTGTCACTTATTTGATTATTTAGATAGATAACTATTTGCTTTCACATTATACAGACCTCCCTTCATAAATTTCACAAAAACTCCAATATAAAACTATAATGAAAGAGGAAATATTGGATAAATAAATCACGTTAAATAAATAAATCACTTTGAATAATAATCAATAAATAAGAAAATAAAATGACTCCAAGAACTACAATTGAATGGCAATCATCTACCCTCAAATGTCTATATAAAAAAATTGACTCTTTCTTTAAACAAATATGAAATTTCTATCTGCAACAAATGAATGAAAGAATGATCTAAATGACATTTTTACCCCCTACAAAGAATTGTTAACTTTATACCCAACAATCTGACCTCCTAACTGTTCTTCTTCAACATCACGCTGCTGCTTGCTGATACGCCGACGAACTTCCGGCGACATCCGATGGGACCCACGCCGACACGGTGTAAAGAGGCTGATCAGACCAGCTCAGAGTAACACCGGCGGCGGCACCGCCATCAGACACCCGCCTCTGCTGCTGCTTCTCCACTTTGAAGGAATTCGGACCAAATGGATGATCATACATTTTCAGTATCATTTGGCTCTGTAGAAACTCCCTCTCGCTGATCTCCACGCTTCTGAATCCGCCGAGCTCCGCCATCGACCGCCACCACTGATCAAACCCAACGTGCCTCTCGAATCTCTCAAGCCCTTCGCACGCGATTATGTTTCTGATTTCACGTCCGAAGGATTCTTCGATTTTGATCCGAGAGTGACTTTGTAATGGAAACACAGAATCGATACAGTCAAAGATAGCAGAATAATACTTCAATGAATTCGATACTCTCTTTTCCAAAACAGCGTCGTTATGCTCGGATTCTTGCTCCGCCATCACCACAACGCTAGGGTTTGTGCTTCGAATTAGCCGGAAAAAGTCTCTAAGAGCGCCGCCGGTGGCGTCGTACAGCATTTTGTGAAGCTGTAAGACGCAATTTACTGCTACAGTTTCGCCTTCTTTAACATGAAGCATCCACAGTCTCACATCTTCTAATCTATCAACAACCGGATGGAATTCAAATTCTAGGTTTAAGGCCTCGGCGAATCCGGAAAGCCGAGCTCCCGTCTCGATGAGATCCTGTTTAGATTCTCCGACGCCGGTGATTCTGACGTGGCTCGGAGGGTTGTTCATGGAAGCTAAACTCTGAAAAAAGCTCGGCCATTGAAGACCTTGCTTTACGTCAAAATCTATAACATGAACTTTATCTTTCCCTTGAAACGATCTTAGCAGAATCTCGTTTGACGTGAAATGGATGAATTTAGGAATTGGGGTTGCTTGATTCAAGAGACGTAAAGCTGTTCCATTCTCTTCTTCGACCTGATTAATCTCTCTAGGAATAGAAATCTGGAAAATATTCGGCCAAATTCTCGAAACCCTTAAAGCTAAAGCTTCTGTGTAATAAGCAGCAAGTCTGGAGATTGAAGAATCGCCTCTCGGAGACGCTAATTCGCCTAATTTTGAAATGAAATGGTTAATTGTAGCTATGTTCTTAACGCCGATTGCTTCCAAACAAGCTAAAAGCAAACTTATAAGCTCAAATCCAACTTCTTCATCATGGTTCGTGTTCCCAATCGCTAATAAATCCAAACTTTGATTAGGGTTTGGTGCACCTACGCCGTTCGTACCTCCTACATCCAAACTCCGATGACTTTCCGGCGAACTACTCCTCGATCCCGACCCCGATGACGTTTCATTCACAACCCTCTGTCTATGGCTTCCTGACGAAACTCCCCTTTCACCAAAATCCGCTAATTCATTCACAAAACTCCATGGACTGGTTCTTAACTGAGGCGAAAACGGAAGTGAAGTTGCAGAAGGATCAAGAACGAACCCCTGTTTGCTAAACCAAAAATTATCTTCATTTTCACCGAATTCTTCGACTTTACTGCAACCCCTTTTCCTCTTAGCTCGAAAAGATTCATCTTGTTCATCTTCGTAAAGTCTTTTTAACCCTTTGTTTCTGTTATCCCAGATATCGTTCTTTTTTTCTACCACAGTGTGCTTAAGTGAACAGTTGGTTGTTCTTGCTTCTATTGTGTTGTTGTTGTTGTCGAGTGATATAGGGCCCACAGGTCTAATAACTGGCTGCGATCTTGTTGATTCTTTACGAGGGAAGTTAGTATTGCATGGCAAATCCAATCTTTGTGTGCTCATTGAAGGGAAGTTACTAAATGTAGAAGAAGAACACCCAGCCAACATTCTTTAAAACCTTCCAAAGTTCTTCACTTTCGCTCTCGTGTATATAAATATAAATATATAGATATGTATAAATCAAATTCAGTCAAATTATAAATGTTTGTGAAAAGAAATCAAGAAAATGAGAGAGTGTGTGTAGTTAAAAGAAACAAAAAAAAGGGTTTTAAAAAATGGAATCCAATGAATTGAATAAAAACGTATGAATGTATGTGCAATAAAGAATAAGAATGTGAAATGTGTATGAGCAATTGAAAAGAATCAAAGAATTTGATGTAAGAAAATTTAAAAAGTTTACCTCAAAATGATCATCGGATTCCGAAAAACACACACTCTGGGGAGATGATGATGGATGAAGAAATCTTTACCATGAATGTAATTCAACCGCCGCCATAACTTGTTCAAACCCAAAACTCAAGAAAGATCCAGATTTTGAACAACACATTCCAGCCATTGACAGTTTGAAGAACTCCATAGTGATCTTTATCAAAAACCCAGATTTTTTTAAACAAATTTAAACCCTAATGAAAAAGAATTGAATCATTCCTAACGATTTCAAAGACCCTAATGTAAAAATAAGAAGTTTATGAATCTTTATAAAAACCCCATCATTTGAATCGTGAAAAAAATCAAGATTTGTAGATTAAAAGACGAAAAGATTGTGTTTTTTTCTCTCCTCTCCTCTCCTCTCTCACTCACTCTCTCTCAACTACGCAACAGTAACACTACCCAAAAAAATCATGCACACATATAAGATTTTTCTTATATAAATCAGAAAACCAGGGTGTTGTTTTTCCTTTGTTTTTGGCAGAGGGATGCGGTGGTTTTGGACCCTAGGATGGAGATCCGACGGTGGAGAATAGTGGTGAGGGTGAATATGACCGTTGTGGTGGGGTTAATATGACCGTTGAGGGAAGAAGGTGGTGTACGGAAGTGACGTGGTGGGGGTGTGTTTCGAGGATTTTCTTTTGATGAAATGCACGTAAGGGCGTCACGTGGTTGCCTCCTGATATCCGTTTGAATTGACCGTTGGATAAAAGGAACAATGATATCGTATCTAATATTCTTAACATATTCATCGCTTAAGAACCATAATTATATGTTATTAAGATTGATTATGTATGTTATTAAGATTGATTATGATCTATAATTTTGTTTTACTTTGGGGTGTAAATATTTGGAGTTTAGTCAAATATTAAATCAATCAAGAAAAAAAAAAAGAATATCACAAAAAATACCATATGATTGTCGAGCATTTAGACTAATAACTTAACTTTTTGAAGAGTTATTATCAAAATAACCGTCAAACATTACAATCCAAAATACTCAAAATGACCATCTAGATCGTAGCTAGTAGCAAGAAACTATAATTTTTATTTATTATATAAATGTTTGATAAAATTAAATATAATTTTTAGGGCACTTATAGAAATTGATTATTAAAGCTTAATAGTTTTTTTAAAACACTAAATGAAATAGTTTTTAAATTTTTAGCTATTTGTTTAAACTAAAAGTTAAACGTTAGTACTACTAAACGAATAATATTTTTTAAATCGAGTTTTTTGTTAAAAGCCAAAACTAAAAGCTCCCAAATATTCGTTGTCAAATACGCCCTAATGTGAGTTACACATTAGATAAGTGGCATAAATAATTATGAGTACGATATTCGAGACATTTCAATGATACATAGTAGATATATTAAAAGGAAATGACTTTAATGGTTTTTGAACATTCAAATCAATAGCCAGATGGCATAGGATTACTTGAACTATAAATTAAATTTAACTATAAACCTTGTAAAAAATAACTAAAATTATATAAAAAAAAATTATTATCCGGCAAAGTTATATTGCTATTATTTATCAAATATCTAGAAACTACCCACAAAACATGAATTTAATGAAATCAATAAATAATGATTTGATATCAAAGGGCTTACTGAAATCAATAAATAATAATTTCATATCAAAAAACTTCTAGCTCAACGGTATGAGATGGTGTCCTCTCTTGTTTAGGTCTTGAGTTTAAGTATCATTGTAGACACAGATAAAACTAAGAAATAATTTAAAAATAGATTAGATTTATTGTTCAGAAAATAAAAATAAATAATTATTTGATTTTTTTATTTGTCTTATATGAGTTGAAAGTTGAAACATATCTTTTCTATTTTAAAGAATCACTCCATCCAAGTCATTTGATCAATTCTTTCACCTCGAATTTGGATTCCATGTTTTGGAACACACGTCTAACCACTTATAGCAACTCCAACCATAGCCTCCAGAAAAATAAAAACACTAAAACGGTGTTATTTTAACATCAAAATAGAGGTTCCAATCCAACCATCCACTAACACTTATATATAAAAACTTACTTTTATATCTTATTAATTATTTTTAATAAAAACAATCTTTCTTTCTAGTTCTTACAGAAGACTGTTTCCACCCATGATGGGTTTTCATGCCAAAAATACTAAATCCCATATAATATTAATATCTTCATTTTGCCGGAGTGAACAGTAGACCGCCAAATTTGGTGTGTCATTGTTTATTTACACCATTTTGCCATTCAATTTCTAGGTCGATTTGAGAGATTTTCACCTGCAAAACACAATTTTAGTGGTCGATAGGAGATGGTCTTAGGGACGGATAACATGATTACTGATAACATGATTAGTATGTTGTAATATACATTTTTAGTTTTTAGTGTCTTTTGTCATTTAGGCTTATTCATTTGTGTATAGTAAAAATTGGAGAGTGGTAGTATATAAGTTTAATAAGGTTCATTTTGGAAAAAGAAAAATTAAAAAAGAAAAAGAAAAATAGAGTCGGCCAATGAAAACACTCCTTCGAACTTTCCCTCTCCCCTCTTCTCTTGTTAGTCAGCTGTCGAGTCTTCTTGGCAAGCCCTCTTAGCGCAAACTAAGGGGCGGTGTTTGGCGAGACTGGTGGCAACTCCCTCTTAGCGAGTCACTCCGAATAGCCTAACACATTAAGCATTAATAGTATAAGATATTAAGTCATTAAGGCATAACATTGATAAACAATTATAAATAACATAAATAAAACATTTAAATACATAATTGAAAAACATAAAGTTTTGCTAAAGAATTATTTTAAGGTTAATATTATAAAATAGTTTGTATATCGTGTTTTTTTCCTGTCAACTCTTTTTTTTTCTAAAAATCCTTAATTTTATTTATATTTTTTTTGATTTGACAATTTTAATAGTTTTTTCCGAAATAAATCCTGTCTAGTTTTTTCAGATTGAAAAATAAAAAAAAATGTGGGTTTTCTTGGAAAATAAAAATAAAGTAAAAGGTTGAGTGTATCGTTGTGGACCACTTGGTTTTCCTTCGAGCTCAATGTCTTACTTTGTAAGGTATGTTAAACATGATTCTGACCTTTATTAACCTTTTGAAAAGTATTTATTTAGACTCTATTATGTGTCCTATATGTGGTTCAGATCAAGAAAATGTGAGACACTTGTTTCTTTTTTGTTCGAAGCTCGTAGATATTTACGACTCATCGTGAGATGGTCGGTGTCGTAAGCCCCTCTGTTAAATGTGACTCGAGCATTTAGAGCATTCTCATGGAGCATTTGGAGCACTTAGAACTCAATAGAGCACTTGAGGTTCATGGACCATGTAACAAAGGAATGGATCATCTGAGATGGCTTTGGACCATCTAACAAAGGAACGAATCAAGTGTCAAATGAACGGATCATTTAAAAGGGGGGTTGGAGCAACTTGGAGTGGCTTGGAGCAACATGGAGTAACATGGTCCAACATGTTGAGCCACGTGAAGAGGTTGAGCCAAGTGAAGATGTTGAGCCAGGTGAAGATGTTGGACGAACATGGAGAAGTTGAGCCATCATGGAGAAGTTGCGCCACGTTTGGGAGATGTTGAGCCAATCATGAAGGATATTGTGCCACCTTCTGCGACTTCCCAGAACCATTCTACCCAAAACAAGTATGTGAGTTCTATTATTCATGCTCTGTTGATTCTAGTGCTCAAACCATGGAACCATTGGAGATGGTGAATCTATGGTTACTATTGATGTGGAATCTTTTCAAACTGCTCTTCGTCTTCCTCGGTTAGAAAATTAATCTAAAATTCCATTAGAAGAAAATGCAAGTCCATTCGTGAAACATTAGGGTATAACTTTTCCCGCAGGGCACTTCTCGTGATCCATCCAAATACACTATTCATCAATGTTTTGTTGTAGGGTGGAAGTACCTATCGGAGGTAGTTGGTAAATGCCTTGGACATAAGACTGGGAGCTTAGATCATTTGAATCTTTTTAGCAAATAATTTTGTATTCCATGGTGTGCAACAAAAAATTGGATTTTTCTCAACTCTTTCTTGATCAGTCGAATGATTGTATCATTGGGAACAAGAAGCCATCATATGTTCCTTATCCCCGTCGGCTTGGAATGATTTTGGCTTGTGATGAAGAAGGTTCCAACGTTAATCATGGAGACATCATTCCAATCCCATCCATCTCCTCAAAGATCATGAACGCTGCTCCTTCTGATGGTGATATGCATATTACCTAGAGAATGTCAAACTGGATTGCAAACCCCTACAGTGTTGAATCCTCTTACTCTGAAGAAGAGGATGATGATGAAGATAACGAGGAAGGATTTGATGATGAATAATGCACTAATGATGAAGAAGAAGTTGATGATGAAGAAGATGTTGAAGATGAAGAAGATGAACTTGCCACTGATAAAGGAGAAGCCTCTGTTCAGGGAATGAATTCTCCCCCAAGATTGAACAAGCACATTTTATTCTCATATACTTCTTCATCCACTCCCTTTGCAGATGATGTTGTACAGCGTGGATCAAATCACTTCAAGTGGAAACTACTGATCCACTGATCCAAGATGTGATTTCTCCAAGATCAGCGTCTCCCTCTCATTAAGCTGAACCTGTTCCTCCTATGCCAACACCTATTCAAACTTTTTCTTTTTATCAGGGGGAAAACAGCTCCAACTTACAAACTAT